TGAGTCGCTGGGATTACAGGCACGCACCACCATGCCCAGCTAATTTTTTGTATTTTTGGTAGAGACGGGGTTTCACCATGTTGACCAGGATGGTCTCAATCTCTTGACCTCGTGATCCACCCGCCTCAGCCTCCCACAGTGCTGGGATTACAGGCTTGAGCCACCGCGCCCGGCTTATATTCTCTAAATTAAACTATTCAACACCAAGAATGAACTCTAATGTAAACTATGGGCTTTGGGTAATGTGTCAATATGGGTTCATCAACTGTAACAAATGTAGCATTCTGGTGTGGGAAGAGGGGAATATGAGAAATATCTGTACCTTCCTCTGAATGTTGCTGTGAATATACAACTGCTCTAAAAAAATCAAATCTATTAAAAAAAGTATAGGTTCAAGAAAAAAATGAGTTAGGAAAAACCACATGATCTAATCCAGTAAGACATTTCTTAAATTTTTATCAAACTCAGAAAAAACAGAAAACAAATGCATTAAAACGCTACCATGTAATGGAACTGTAACTTTATGTCCTGCTGTTCCTGTTACTGGGCCTGTGGCCATTGTTAGAAGAGTTTGACCAGGTAAAACTGATATATTTTCAGCAGCAACGCTTGAAGAAGGAGCGATTTTCAATTTTGTTCCTTCTGTTATGATCTTGTCCATAAGCATTTCCTTTGGGGGGTCTTCGCCAAAGAGTCTTCTCTTAGCACTCCCTGCGGTAGGAGAACTGTAGCGTTCATGGACAGGAATTGGAGACAATGGTTGCATATCTAAAAATAAATAAATAAATAAATTTAAAACAGAAATGTATTCTAAAATAATAGATTTACTCATTCACTCAATAAATTAGGTTTACTCATTCATAATGAGTTACTATGCTGGGCATTAGCCAGATATGAATAACATAGCCTTTGCCCTCATGGAGTATGAAGTCTTCTGGGAGAAAGAGGCATAAAATAACTCATTACATATAAAAAGTGAAAATTATGATCACTCATCTGCCTGGTTTCTTGAACCTCTGCCTATATTAAAAGAGCAAAACATTAAGGATAAAGCAGCGGTTGAGAGGTAGAATGATTTAAGCACTAAATTTTAGTAGTAGTCCAATATCTCCCAATCTTAACTAGTAAAGAGCGCCTGAGAAGAAGGGAAGAAAAGCAAAAATCAGTAATTTGAGTTGCAGTTTTGCCCCTTCGTGCATATTTGCACTAAAAGCAGCTTAAGGCAGTAGTTGTGGCTTTCTGATTTAATAGATATGGAATCATCTTTAATAAATTCATCAGAAGATATGAGTAAAGATGATATAAATCTGCTTATCTTGCCTTAATCTGAGGATTGGCAGTAGTGTGTTGATCAAAAATAAAGTAAGGATTATGGATTTTGCCTTTCTTCTTGTGCTATCCTTTCACAGGATCTGCTTTCCATTCCTCCTCTATCAGCTGCACGGGTTTTTCTAGCCCCTGACAACCCTACATCTTTTCTACATCTTTTCCCACCATTCTTCCCTCAACCTTACAGGTAGGTCAATAATATGCTTTTAAAGCAAAAGTATTTATTGATGAGATGGAGTCTCACTCTGTTGTCCAGGCTGGAGTGCAGCTGCACAATCTCGGCTCACTGTGACCTCCGCCTCCTGGTTTCCAGCAATTATCCTGCCTCAGCCTCCCAAATAGCTGGGACTACAGATGCACACTACTATGGCTGGCTAATTTTTCTATTTTTAGTAGAGATGGGGTTTTGCCATGTTGGCCAGGTTGGTCTTGAACTGCTGACCTCAGCCCGCCTTGGCTGGGATTACAAGTGTGAACCACTGTGCTCTGCCTTCATTATTTATTTTTACATTCACTAGATAATTAGATAGTCATGTAATCTATTTTCAAAACATGCTTAAAAGGTATTAAAATGATCCCTAGCAATGATTTAGAAGCTCTCTGTATTAGTGAGATAACTGGGGAAATAGTTTTGGTTTCATAAAAGTCTTTCCATAATTCTTGGGCTTATGAAAGTAGCTTCCACTGTCTTCAGTAAATAAGTGGAAATTTCTATAGTAGTTTCCATACTCCTTTACAAGAGTCCATCTTAATGCCCTACAACTAAGAAATCCACACGAGTCCCTGAATCTGACTAGGCATGGTCAAAGGTGACAATTCAATGGAAGACTTGAGTTGAAGCCATAAAGTAGCTACGAATCCCTTGAAATGATCTCTTCTTAGCACAGTACTGGAAAAGCTATGGTGGATATTCAATAAGAATGCAATGAATATATAAATGAAAAGCTAATCCAAATTTAGAAAGAAACACGACAATTTGCCAAGGTACAGAAAAAATGCTCACTTAGTTATAAATTATATGAGAGGTGCCGGGCGCGGTGGCTCAAGCCTGTAATCCCAGTACTTTGGGAGGCCGAGGCGGGTGGATCACAAGGTCAAGAGATCAAGACCATCCTGGTTAACATGGTGAAACCCCGTCTCTACTAAAAATACAAAACATTAGCTGGGCATGGTGGCGCGTGCCTGTAATCCCAGCTACTTAGGAGGCTGAGGCAGAAGAATTGCCTGAACCCAGGAGGCGGAGGTTGCGGTGAGCCGAGATCGTGCCATTGCACTCCAGCCTGGGT